TAACATGGTCATGATCAGACTACACACTGAAAACAAACTCAATATTCAACAAGGAACCAAAGGTTAACTGTAATGTAACAATGCAATTGAGTCATTAATAATAGAGCTAAAGACTATACTGTAATGGGAAAGAATATTAAGAGAAGGAGAACAACGAGGAGAAAAACAATAGCCTATCATGGAACACAGGGGACAAAGTACCTCAGCTGCTTTCACCACTGCCCTCATGCCTACACACATATATCTGATTTTGTCAGCACACCAAGACAGCATCCATTTCAAAGGGTAAGTGAACATTAAACAAATTAATGATACAAAACATGACCAGATACCAAACTCAGATTCTGAGTATCAGCTTCTGTTTGCAGTTCCATGAAGAAAGCAAATCACACTGAGTATAGGAGCAGGGTACTGGGCTCAGAACAAGCAGGCAGTTTGCCTGGTTGCTGTCACTAAGCTCAGATAGCTTAATTATGTCCTTCTTCACATGGGAGGTGCTCGTCAGGAGGGAAAGTGCCCATTCTGAGTCTGGTCTAACGGGGCCGGGAGGCATCCCACTCTAACAGGTGCTTTGTGCCTCTGCCCTTCTGCATCATATGCTGCTTTCACGAAGTGATGCTCAAGAGGCAAGCTCCATCTCTTGTTTTCAACTTTCTGGGGAAGACTACACTGTAACCCCAGCACCTAAATAATAAAAGTAAAACAAATATAGAGAAATACAAGACTGCTGTAAGGAAGTGAAAATATCAGTGATGTTTTTAATAACCCTTCAGAAATGTGAGATGGGAGAGAGGACAAGTAAAGAATCTATTTCCAGAAGCCACCTTCATCACGGCTGCTTCTCTAACATGTATTTGAGACAGCGACATCCAACAATCAGCAATATGTAAGACTTATTTCCACACAAGGCTACAAGAAAAACGGGGAGATGACAGAGGCAGACCCAACCCCTATAAAAAGAATATGTTCTAAGGAATTGACTGTCAAGACATATTTACAGAGAGTTGTTCACTATAGCCTTGTTAGGAATGGAGAAATCCCAGAGGCAAATGAAATACTCGTCAATAGGGAATTAAATAATGACATCATGGTCATCTAGACAATGAAATTTTATACAGCTTTTAAACATGTGAAAGTAGGGAAAGCTGTTTTACAAAATAGTTAAGGTGCTGCTTGGGATATCTGTATGCCATATAAAAGGGTCAAGGCTTGATTTTTGGCTATGCTCCTGATTCTGGGTTCCTGGGAATGTACACCCTGGAAGGCAGCAAGCACTGTTCCAAACATTTGGGTCCCTGCCATCGACGTTGGAGATGCAGCAAATGGCTTGACACAGATCAGTTGCAGCTGTTGCAGGCTTTTGGGGGAATGAGCCAGTGGATAGGTGATCTCTCTCTGCAGGATATGTTTGGTTAGACACATCTAGAGAAAAGTGATACAGTATTGTTTAAAAATACATGGCACCTTGAGGATGGCACTATGGTTCAGTGAGCTAAGCCACACCCTGCAATGCCAGCATCCTATATGAGTGCCTATTCAGGTTCTGGCTATTCCATTTCTGATCCAGCTCCATACTAACACACTTGGGAAAGCAATGAAGACTGCCTGAGTATTTGGGCTCCTACCATTCACTTGTGAAACCCAGATGGAGTTCCAGTTCCTAACTCTCTCTCTCTCTCTCTCCATTTGTGTGTATGTAATGCTGTGTTTAAAATAAACACTTTAAAATATATACATGGTTCTTTATCCTTTGTTGACACTGTAACAGATCAGATGTAAAACTAAAGGATAATGGAAGTCTTCTGACTTCTAGTGTACTAGACCATTAATTCATAACATCATAGAATTTGAAGTCTCTTTACAGCTCATTTACTTCTAAATTATAAGTTTCCTAGGCAAGCATACCTATAAGCAAGCTGAATTCAATATGGGCATATCACACTGACATGCTGACCTGCATTTACTGGCAATCCACTCTTTTTTTTTGAATTTGACATCACTGTACTGAAAAGTTTTCCTATAAATTACAAAATCCAATACAATAATAACATCTATTTAATTTTGACAAGCAAAACTTTCTAATTGCATTTGAAATAGCCTTGAGAATTGACAAATACTCTGACTAATGGGCAGCAATTAATGTCTTTTGTTTTTTTCAAAAGAAATTTTTTAACATTTAGTTATTTTTATTGAAAACTCAGATTTACAGAGAGAAGGAGAAACAGGATTTAGAAACATCTTCCAGCCGTTAATTCATTCCCCAACTAGCCACAACGGCTGGAGCTAAGCTGATTGCAGTGAGGAGCCAGGAGCTTCTTCTGGGTCTCCCTTTGAGTGCAGGGTCTCAAGGCTTTGACCCATCCTTTACTGCTTTCCCAGGCCACAAGCAGAGAACTGGATGGAAAGTGGAGCAGTCAGGACACAAACTGGCACCCAATATGCTAGGCAAGGATTTAGCCACTAGCCTATAGAGCTGAGCCCAGAAATTAAGCTCTTTAAAACAAAAGTCCTTAAGCTTCAACATGAACAGGTATGACCTGCCTAACAAAAAACCAGAACAGAAGTTTGACACAGAGGTTAAATCACCAGTTAGGACACCTGCATTCCATCCTGGAGTTTGCGTCTTGATTCCAGTTTCCTGTACATTCTGGAAGTCAATCAAGTGATGGCTCAAGCAGTTGGGTCCCTGCCATCCACATGGGAAACCTGGATTAAGTTCTTGGCTCCTAACTTCAGACTGGCCCAGCTCTGGATGTCAAGGACACTTGGACACTAAACCAACAAGTGGAAGATATTTCTCTCACTCTTTCTGCCTTTCAAATACTTACAATATACTCATAAATACATACAAATATAAAATTTTGAAAAATGTATGATTTTCAAACTTATTCATTTAAGCAAGTCCTTCAGCAACTGTGTTTAACAAGCCATTGCATTTTGTCACCTGGCAATGAGATTGCTTGAAATTAACACATATTTAATGGCTGCAATGGCTGGGACTGCTGAAACTAAAGCAGGAGCCAGGAACTCCATTCAAATATCCCACATGGATGGCAGGGGCCCAAGCACATGACCATTGCCAGTTGCATTCTCAAGTGCATTAACAGGGAACTGGATCAGCAATGGAGCAGCTGGAACTTGAACAGGTTTTCTAATATGAAATGCCAGTGTTGTGCCGCTTACTCTTTTGTGCTATTATGCCATCTTTTAACCTGCTCCAATACTAAAGCATTTGTTACTTTCCAGAAGACATACGACATATTTTAGCCAGTGGAACTTAAAAAGAAAACAGATTTCAAGCCTCTACACATTCCTTAGCCTGTTTTCTTTTATCTGCTTAAACTATATGTCAAAAAAGAGCTAACTCAATTATTTCTGACCCCTGCCAAATCAGTGTTTCCAGGCTACTCAATCTAACACAATAAACCAAACTCCTTGTAAAATCTCCATAGTCCCACAGAGCCATCAATAACCTGCACTAACAAGTTTCATCAAAAGTGTCACTTATGAGCTGTCAAAAGGGCAAATACCAACATAAGAAATGTTTCGCCTTTAGCTTTTCTACATTAGTGACTTCCTGAAGAGCAGTGTCTCTCCCTTGGCACTCTCTGTGTAAATTAACATTTGGGAACACAATAAGCCGGTTCACGGTCATAACAAACCACAAGCCACTCTAACCCCATTTGCCTTGGATGTCATGGCAGATCACATAGAACCAACCACAAACATGTGGCACAGCAAGCTCTTGGTTAGAACAGGAAAGAGCTGTTTAGTCTCTGGCAACTGGAATGTGACTGTGAGCCGGGACAGGAGCAACATCCCATGGCTCTCATCTACAACCCATGCTTCATGTTGTCACCAGCCAAGGCAGGACTCCCAGCAACAAAGCAAGGCAAGGAGAGGATGACCCCACCCTTCTCCCTTGCTCAACTCCTTCAAAGTCTGTTCTGCATTCTACTCAAAGACCACCTCAAACAGGATTTTCTCAGTTGGGCTACTCTAAATAAGATCTCTCAAGGTGGGTTGGCATAGTGATGTGAAGACTAACCCTCTACCTGCTAGTGCCAGCATCCTGCACGGGTACCAGTTTGTATCCTGGCTACTCCACTTCTGACCCAAGTCTGTGCTTATGAGCCCCTACACCTGCATGGGAGACTGGGAAGAAGCTCCTGGCTCCCAGTTTTGGATCAGCTCAGTTCTGGCTAGTTCTGGAGTGAACCAGCAGATGGAAGAACTTTTTCTCTGTCTCTCCTTTCTTTGTTTATATGCAAAGAAGAATGCAGTCAACATGGGAACAGAAGTGAGATGGGGAGGGGGAGGGAGAAGGAGAAGGAACACAGTCACCCTAGGCCTTGCCTGAAAACACCAAGCCCAGGAGAAGATGGAGCTGAAATTCCACCCTGCCTAAGTTCTGCACACTCTGGAAAAGACCTCTTGACAGCTGACAAAGGGACCTTCCTCTCCCCCCCACTTTTAAAATTTTTTTCTTTCAGACAAAGGCTCCGTCTGTTAACCAAGCCTGTTCTAAAGCTCACAGGAGTGTTGCACATGCCAGAGAGAGGTGTGATAAGTGGTGCCAGAGTCACCCCATCCAGTCACAGTAACCTATGCTTGCTTTAGTTGACTTTTTGTCATTTGTAACCAAAGAAATCCTGCTTCATCTAAAGGGTCATTCTGACTGCTTCTACCAAAACCTCATGCTTGTTCTAGCCTTGAACTTCCAATTAGTATTTGTACTCTTCCCTTTTGCCTCCAAGTTGTGAGGTCTGAAGTAACTAGAACCCTTTCTTTCTTAGACACCCAGATAACTATGAATGCAGAGATAGGGTGACAAAGAAATCAAGTTCACTCTGACAGTGCTGCTGCAAGTGACAATGGCCATGTGGGACTCCCCTTTGCAGCACTACAGAACCTTGGTACCTTCTCTGCTGCCAACCCAACAGCAGCGAGTGTCACACAAAGCAGTCACTAACGCTGTGGGTGCAAGGACGCTCACTCACCCTCGCTGATGTCTGTCCAGCTCATGGAGCACTGTGTGGTCGCAATACTCGAACACCAAGTGAAGCCTCCGCTTCCTCCTGAAGACTTCCAGAAGGTTCACAAGGTTGGGATGCTTGAGTTGCTGGAAATACACAAAGCAAAGTGCTCAGTCTGGGCAACTTTCTGTAACAGTAATTCAGTAGAAAAAAAAAAAGCCACTGGGGGGCAGAGGTGTAGTATCATGTGTAAAATGTGAGTAGAACATCCTTGTCATACACTGGTTCACCTAGACTCCAGATTCCCACCACTGTGCATCCTGGGAGGCTGTGGGGATTCCTTGAATAGCTAAGTCCCTGGCACCCAGGTAAGAGACCCAGGTTTTAGCTTCTGGCTCCTGGTTTTGGCCTGTCCCACAGTTGGCTGCTGTGGGCGTTTGGAGAGTGAACCAGTGAAAGAGAACCCTAGCTCTTCTCTCTCTCTCTCTCTCTCTCTGCCACTTAATAAATCATTCAAATTATAAATCTTGGACAAGAGAAGGCTGTCCATTCAGAGTTTCATTTCTTGGATTAAAGGAATCTTAAAAAATCATAAAAATCATAAAAAATCTTACTGTTCCCTGCTTTGGAATTGTTAGTAGCTTGTAAATGAAAAACAACAACACAACAACTGCTACAACTCAGATGACTAAAGAAGGCAAAAAAGGAGCATAAGAAGGCTGGAGAAGAAAGGAGATTGAAAAAGAGAGAATTGAGTTTATGCCAAGCCAGCCTTCAGGTTCCCAAAAAATGTGCCTTCAAAAGGAGGGCTCTGTGATCTCCCCAGCTGGTTCAGTGCCCAGGATTTGTAACTCTCATTTGTAACTCTCATTTAATGGTTACTTTGTTGAATGTCTTTTGGTATTAACAGATCTGTTTACAATAGATATAATCAGTATCATCTAAGTAGCATCACTGCCATCAGGGGCTATGCTCGCCTGTGGCTGCACCTGCCACATACCAGGTATGCCATACTGATTTGTGATGCATGAGTCAACACACTCCCAAGACTGATGACACATTTTCACAACAAGCCAGGAAGACACTTCAATCCTATGCAACTGTCAAGTGTGTGCCTAGAAAAGGTATAAAAACTTTATGATCATGTGTTGTTTTGCCATATTAATTTCCTTCAATCCATTTGAGAATTGTATTAAAATACACAACACAAAATTTACCATCTTCATGAATGTTAAGTGTCTGGTTCATTGGTAGCAGCAAGTTCAGTCATGCTACTATGCACCCATTAAAATCCTCCATCTCTGGAATGCTTTTCATGTGCACAAATGAAACCATGACTGCTAAAACAGTAACTCCCTACTTCCTCCTCCTGGCTCTTGACAACTAACATTTGCCTTGTCTCTGTGATTTTGGTAACATTGGGCTTCTTGTGCAGGTGGATTAATAAAGTATTTGTCTTTTTGCAACTTCCTTATTTCACTTAACGTTTATCCACGCAGTAGCACGTGTCTGAAGTTCCTTCCTTGTTAAGGCTGCATAACGTTTCGTTGCCTGCACACATCGCACTTTGCTTATATACTCATCTGCTGACCAGGGAACACTAGGGTTGCTTTCACCTTTTGGGTGTTTTGATGCCGAAGGGTTCTGTAAACACAGCACTGACATTTGCAAAACAGAAATTGTGCTCATTCACACAGTAGCCCTCCTACCCTGCCCCATACACATGTGTCCGTGCAACACTGTTTTCCGTATTTGTGGCTGTAAGCAGCGACCAGGTATCTGGTTTGTTTGGACTGTTTTCCCAGTTTCTATGGGTCACTCAATGGATTGCCAGAGGTCTCAATCACAGGAAAGCAGGTGATACAAGTGATTCAACATGCGAGGAAAAAAGTTGAAGTTCTTGAACTACACACTGTAGCACATTTGTAGCAGTAAACATAAAGAATAAAGTAAGCAGTAAGAATAAAAACAGCCTGCTAGGGAGTTACTAAAAATATCTATTTTCTCATTTTCTTGATAAAATCCCTCTGTGTTCTCAGACCATAAAGTCCTCCTCCAGATAATATTCTTGGTAAAACAAGTATAAATCATCCAAAGTATTCTAAAGTACCTATCTTACATCTTTTTGTGCTGCTACAATTAGGTCAGACAATTTATAGAAGCACAAGATGTTGTGTTGGTGTCTGGTGCAAACAGCTCTCTGCTCCCAAGAAGGTGCCTTGTTGCTGGATGTTCATATGGTCTGGAGTGGAGGGACAGAATGTGCCCTCCAACCTCATGCCCTGTCAATAGGGTATGAATTCCACACCTCAGGCTAAACCAACATTTCCCAGACATAATAGATATAACTGACCACTATTTTATTGTTTTATGTATGTATGATTGTTATCTACCCACCTATTAATCAGACATATATATTAACTATCTGTAACTATCTACACTAAATATATTTAATAGGCACACAATGAGAGACAGGCTTAGACCCAGGCCCTCCTTGCTTGGCCTCTGCTTACCTCCAACTTCCTCCTGAATGCACTGACTGTTTCTCACTTCCCGTAGGGCTCATGCAGGAGTTGATCACAGCTTCCTCTCTGAAATACCCTCCACCAAGCTGTTAGGCTCTCTGTCCAGCCTCCTTTGACACACCCTGACCAAGCTGGTTTGCCTTCTAAGAGCTGTGAGCTTGCTATCCATGCAAGGGCTGCCGCTGTGGCCAGTAAAAGGACACGTTCACACTGGTCTGAAAGGGAGGGTATTACATTTACTGTGCCCATGTTGCCATGTTAAAACTATAATATATTTACTATACCCATCTTGCCATGTTAAAAACACTCTGAAAACCTGGATTCTAATAAACACATAACATTCTATTTAAACAACATGTAGGTTCTTTCAAATCACTGGCTATTTTTTTAAATCATTTTATTAGTGGGACAGCCATTGTGAAGAGATTTCAGCAGACTGGGTTCATGGCTCTGCCCGTCACCATCATCTTGTTAGGATGGACCCAGGTGACTCTGACCTCAGGGCTTGAGTGGACCGACCTCCCAGCAGCGTGACAACTGCTGGGGCCAGGACCTAGGCCGGGGCAGACTCAATGCTTGGGTCCAGGCAGCTGGCAGATGTTGGCACTGGGAGCAAACATTATCAGGTTAAACTGCAGAACCTTCTGAAGAGTGCAAGATCTAGGACTAAGAGTGGCTCAGTAGGCTAACAGTGGGCACCTCCCTTTTGGGTTGCCACTCCAATTGGTGAGCATGAGAACCAGGACTGGGTCTGGCATGGCTAGACAGAGTGGCACCCTCCGGCAGGTGTGTGGGCTAATTAATGGGGCTGGTTGGGTTAAATTAGGCTTCCATGCCCACTGAAATGTATGAGACCTGAATGGGATGTGGGACAGACTGGACCAGTCTACTGTACACTTTTGTTTTCATTTCTTAAAAAAAATTTTAATATCTACTTATTTTTATTACAAAATCAGTTATACAGAGAGGAGGAGAGACAGAGAGGAAGATCTTCATCCACTGATTCACTCCCCAAGCGCCTGCAACGGCCAGGGTTGAGCCAATCCAAAGTCTGCAGTTAGGAGCCTCTTATAGGTCTGCCACATGGGCGCAGGGTCCCAAGGCATTCAGCCTGCCTTGACTGCTTTCCCAGGCCACAAACAGGGAGCTGGATGGGTAGTGGTGTTGCCAGGAATAGAACCGGCGCCCATATGGGATCCCACACACTGAAGGCAAGAACTTTAGCCACTAGGCTACCATGCCAGGCCCCCTCAAAAATTTTTCTTATTAATTTCTTCAGTGACACATATGTGATATAGTAGAATCATTTTCTTTAAGAAGGTTTTTTCTTTTCTTTTTCATTTCTTCAGCAACACCTTGGGGTAATCATTGCTTTTTATTTTATTATGTTGTTTGATGAACAACACAATAGCCAGTTGACCTGAACTTTGAACAAGTTAAAGATCTCTTCTAGATCTGTTTTTGCATCTGTAAGAACATGAAGTTCAAGGGCAGTGGGCATAATTTACACATAAAGTGCTCAGGACAATACATACTAACCTCCCTATAAAGCTGGTAGCATTGCATTTCAATGAAATTTGCTTTTTTCTAGATGATTTTCTCTATCCTTTCTTCTTTTTTTAAGATTTATTTTATTTTCATTGGAAGGGCAGATATACAGAGAGGAGGAAAGACAGAGAGGAAGATCTTCCATCTGATGGTTCACTCCCCAAGTGACCACAACGGCTGGTGTAGAGCTGATACAAAGCCAGAGCCAGGAACTTCTTCCAGGTCTCCCACACAGGTGCAGGGTCCCAAGGCTTTGGGCCATCCTCGACTGCTTTCCCAGGTCACAAGCAGGGAGCTGGATGGGAAGTGGAGCTGCTGGGATCAGAACCGGTGCCCATATGAGATCCTGACACATTCAAGGCGAGGACTTTAGCCGCTAGGCAATGGTGCCAGCTGCCCCCCCCCTTTTTTTAAATGTCCTACAAAAGATGTAAAATCCATTATTATTGGAAAGGCAGATTTTATATTTCCTTCTGCTGGTTTACTCCCCAAATGGCCACAAGAGCCAGAGCTGAGCTAAGCCAATCTGAAATCGGGAGCCAGGAGTTTCTTCTGGAGCTCCCATGTGGGTGCAGGGTCCCAAGATTTTGGGCCATCTTCCACTGCTTTCTCAGGCCAGAAGCAGGGAACTGGGTGGGAAGTGGAAGCAGCCAGGACATGAACTGATACCCATATGGGATCCTGGCACTTGGAAGTGGAGAATTTTAGCCTGTTGAGCCAAAGCACTAGGCCATCTCTACTCCTTTAATTCAACAATTATTTACATTTCTTTAGGGATGTGTGTTAAACCTAAGGATACAAACACAGTGTGAGTACTATCCCTATACTCAAGGAGCTCAGAATCTCAGAAGGGTGACAGATGCCGCAGAAGTAATGACAGATATGACAAATGTGACAGAACAGCTGAGGTTCCCGGACTGAGAGTGAGAGGTGGCTCACAAACAGCCATTAATATAATGGTTCATTAATGAGAATGAAGTCAGCTGAATGCCTCCTGGAGTCCCAGAAACAGCTTCATGACTCTAAATGGGGGTGATTGAATTGCTTTCCAAGAGGATTACAGCATCAGCCCT